CCCAAACCCCCCCGGTAGCCCATTCCCCGTACCCGGTAGCCCTCGGGGGTGACACTGATGACCATCTCGAAGGGCGCCCCCGGGCAGAGCGGGTGCAGCTCGCGGCGCTTCTCGTCCTCCCAGCGCCCGTGCCTGCGGCTGTTGAACACCGTGACCCCCTGCTGGAAGCGCGGGTTCAGGTGCAGCGCCAGGTCCGAGCCGTCATCGGGGCCCGTGGACAGGTTCACACGGAGCCTGGGGACAGGGAAGGGTCACCTGTGTCACCTTAGTGCCCCCCAGTGTCACCCCAGTGTCCCCCAGTATCACCAGTGTCACCCCCCAGCCAGGTCCGAGCCGTCATCGGGGCCCGTGGACAGGTTCACACGGAGCCTGGGGACAGGGAAGGGTCACCTGTGTCACCTTAGTGCCCCCCCAGTGTCACCTTAGTGCCCCCCTGTGTCACCCCAGTGTCCCCCCCCAGCCAGGTCCGAGCTGTCATCGGGGCCCGTGGACAGGTTCACACGGAGCCTGGGTGTCACCTCAGTGTCACCTGAGGGTCCCCAGTGCCCCCCCGCAGTGTCCCCAGTGTCTCTCCCAGTGCCCTCCAGTGTCCCACAGCGTGCCCCAAATGTGCCCCCAGTGTCTCTCCCAGTGTGTCCCCAGTACCCCCCCATGTCCCCCCCAGTGCCCCCCCAGTACCCCCCCCCAGTGCTCCCAGTACCAGTCAGGCTGTGGGGCCACCACCCCCTGGATGTAAATGGCCATCCCGGGCCAGAGCCCCCCCATCACGGGGGCCACGTAGGGCAGGGGCTGGGGGAGAAAGGAGGGGTCAGGGGGGGTCCCCAAATGTCACTGCCGGGGTGACAGGGACCCCAAATGTCACTGGGAGGGTGACAGGGACATCCCAGACCCCCCCCCTCCCCCCGGTTTTTGGGGTGACAAGGACCCCAAATGTCACTGCCAGGGTGACACGGAGCCCTCCAACCCCCTCCCCCCGATTTTTGGGGTGCCCCAGCCCCGTTTTTTGGGGGTACCCACCGGGTTGTAGGCGGGCATGTACCCGGGCGGGGGCACGAACGTCATGGTGGTGGCAGCGGTGACAGTGACAGCGGTGACAGTGACACTGGGGACACCGGGGGCCCCCTTTATACCCCACCCCACCTGGGGCCCCCCCAGATCCAGCCGGGCCCCCCCGGATCCGGCCCCTCCCAGGGCAGGGTGCGGACTT